GGTGACCTGGCTCGCCTCTCCCACCCTTTGCTTCCACACCCACCCGCACCGCTCCCACCTTGATCTGCTACCCAAAGCCCTGGAGGCAGGAGTGCTTTCCCTCTGCTTCCAGCACTGCCCAACTTACACTCTCACGGTCTTTCTATCCCCTCCCATCCCGTAAACTCTTGCTCATTCTTTGTCCTTACAAACAACCTCTCGACTCCTTCTCTTTTCCCTTATGACGGCTCTGACCCAGAGGGTGCTTTGCCTCCTCTTAGCTCTTCCTGATGATTAATCTGCATAGTACCCTGTGCATTCTCACCTCTCACTCCTCAGCTCCCTAGGGCGTCTGCTTCCACTATTTTAATAAAGCACTCATTGCATGGAAGTTAGCGTGAAAGACAGGTCCTAGACTTCAGCAGACCTGTTTGACTCTGCCTCTTCCACATGCAAGTTGTGACACCCTGATCACACTGCTTAACTTTCCTGTACATTTCTTTCTTTCTCTCTAAAATGGAGACACTAATGGTGATCGACTTTACAGGGTATTCGCAATATTAAATGAGCTAATGTATTTAAAATACTTAATATCTGCACATGCTAAGAGTTCAACAAATATTAACTAGTATTATTTTGACTATGTCTGGTAGTCATATTTGCATTTCAATAACTACCATCATTACTATTGTTAACTACCATACTAGGTAAAGGTACAAATATTAAACAAAAAAAATCTACTAAACTTGTTCAGCCAATAAAAAGGATTTTCAAATATACAAATCTATCTTATTTGTTGGTCTTGCATAAACTTTCCTATCTTCAAATCTGGATCTTCTCTCCTAGGCAGGTCCTCTCTGTAGTGATTCTATATGATTTTGGTCTGCTCAAATCATAAACACTCACCCATATTTCACACACATATGTGTATTATTGATTGGGCAAATTTATGGACATAATGTGAATTAATGTCCATAATAAATAAATTTAGCTGACCGCAGGAACTTGAACTATGTTGCCTCTGTGGATATAAAACTATTTACATTAATGGTCTGCATAGAGTCAATAATTAGCAATGGACGAGGGGTTGTATGAAAGGACCTAAGCCTTCTCATGGTTAGTCACAGCAAGAACAAAGAAAATATTTTTAGCATCAGGTTTGGATCCTATCTGACAACTCTGAAACTGTACTAATTCAAACCTGTATAAGCAATGCTTTATATTGCTGCTGGACTGAAATCATACCTAATGGTCCTGATATTCCCTGATTAACACTAAGTAGGTTAGCAGGGACATCAATTCCCTTCTTTCATCTCCTTGCTAATCTCAGTCTCTTTTTGTCACAAGCTGTGTGCTGCAAAGCTTGTTTTAATTAAGAAGAGGTAATATAAGCACAGGTAGTCGTAATCGGCATATTCAGCAAGGAACCAAATTGCACAGCCGGATTGCATACTGGTGACAAAAATGACTTTACTAAGCATGTAATTTTTTGCCTAATGATTTAGACAGTGCTTGGGGTGAGTTCACAAGTGCCCACACCCTCTCCCAGCACGTCCAGGTCAGCCTTGTCCTCATGGGAAGAATGAGCTCTGAGTGGGCGGGGCCTTCTGCTGGACACCTGGCTGTCACCACCCGGGTCCTGTGCTGGGATCCCACACACTCATCTGATCCCAATTAATTCGATAATAATATGCATTGTGGGCAAGGAGAATGCTTCCTGTTTTTTCTTATACCTTCAAGACTTTTCAAAAGCAAACTAAGATACTAAAAATCTAATTGAAATTAGTTGTGTTGGGGATGAAGCATTCTCCCGCAGAAGGTGAAGCCAGGGCAGGGAAGGTGTGATAGTGACAGGGATGCTTTGACAGCCACTAGTCACTAACCATTTACTTCTACGAAGCCTGATGACAAATACTTGACACATATTATTTACTTTAATTCTCCCAGGAACAGTGAGAGGTTGGAGTTACTACCTCACTTTACACTGAAGCTTAGAGGTTACACAACTGTCAAGACTCAGAGCTGGGATTCCACCCAGATCTGTCAGAAGCCAAAACCCACCGATGTTATTCAACAAGCATCTTGTTTAACAAATCTGTGTGGCCTAGTTCTGACTATGGTTTTTCCAAAATTAGATTTAAACAATGTATTTCAATGGCTGCCTTAGTAAATCTATTTATTTCTATAATAAAAAAAATAAATTCCCTTTTTAAAAGTAGGAAAAGAACATGAATAGTCAAGTGAATTTTTTAAAAGCCAAAGATTAAATTTCAGGTGTACAAAATCAAAGGGAAGCTGGGTAAGGTGGTGTGTGCCTGTAATAGCAGCATTTGGCAGGCTGAGGCAGGAGGATAGCAAGCTCCAGCCCAAACAGCCAGGGTAACTGAACAGTTTAGCAAGACTCTGTCTCAAAATTTAAAAAAGAATTAAAAGTGGTTGGGACATAGTTGAGTATGAAGCCCCTGGATTTAGTCCCCAGAAACACACATACACACACATGTAAAGAAATTTAAATCAGCAGAGACTGAGTAATGTGGTGCAAGGCACCCTGAGCATTACTGAATCACATTACTCAGTGATGAAGGCAGCATCATTACTGTCTCCCAAAGCGAAGAATCCAATGGAGAAGAGTTCCAATCTTACACAAATGTCATCTCCTCAGAGGTCTTCTCTGACCACTGTATCCACGCTGGGACTCTATTCCCTGTTACGTCAGAGGTCAGCAAATCCTTCCTTCATCTCTCTCTCTCTTCCTTCCTTCTTTCTTTTCTCTCTTTTCCTTTTATTTTTTTTTTTTTTGAAGGCAGTGTTTGAGAGAATGTCTCACAAACTGGCCTGGAATTCACTATGTCGCCCAGGCTGGTCTCGGGCTTGCAGCACACTGATCCTCCTGCCTCAGCCTTCTGAGTGCTGAGATTACAGGCATGTGCCACTGCACCCAGCCGTTTTTTCTGTAAAGACCCAGAAAATTAATAATTTAAACTTCATGGGCCATAGAGGCACCATCAAATCTGCATATCTTCTTGGGGCAGCGAACCACCAGCTACGGATCCAAAGGAAACAAAGGAGCAAAGGAAACTCCAACAGGACGGAGTGTGAAAAGCAGGCAGCGGCCGGGTGCGGTGTACGGGTGCAGACCGCCGGGCCCTGCTCCCAAACAATGCTTCGCTTCCTTGTGCTTTTTTTAACAATCACTAAAATCTGAAATTTTCTTGTGATTTGTTTTAATTTCCTTCCATTAAAACAGCAGATCCACAAGAGTAAGGTGATTACTGTTCACCACAGCTGGCTTTTCCATGACTAGAAAGGGTTTCCTGACTCAAAGATGGTTTGCTCTAGGTAGGAGCTGACCGAGTGTATGAACACACTTCATTTCATAACTGTCAGCAAACGTCTGAAATACACTTGGCCTTCATAATCCAAGTAAAATAATGACATAGTGCTTTTCATGTGTCACGTGTACAACCGTCTGGAAAGGGAGGAGGAAGAAGAGGACTGGTGCACATAAGTACGTGATGGCCAGTCCTGTCTGCTGCTGCTGGGAGAGAAAGCTGGTGGAACCATTCTGAAGTGCCATTTGCAATCTTGTATCAAACCCTAAATAAAATGGATGATGATTGGATAGCTATTTCCCTAAAGAAGACGAGAGGCTAATAAATAAACGAAAAGATGTTCAACATTATTAGTCCTTATAAAAAGTCAAAATCACAGTGAGATACCACTTCACGCCCATTTGGATGGATGTCATTAAATAATGCAAAGGAAAGTAACATGAGTTGGTGAGCATGTGCAGACGCTGGCACCCCTGGGCACTGCTGAGGAGTATGCAAGTGGGCAGCTGCTAAGAGGCAGGATTTGGGGGTCCTCAAAACACTAAACACACTGTATCCTTTAACCCTGTAATTCCACTACTAAATACAGTGTATACCCTGAAGGATTGAAGACGGGGACCCACATAGATACTTGTACACCCTCATTTATGGCAAAATAACTAACAGAAAAAAGGTGACAGCAACCCAAATGTCTATTAACAGATGTATGCAGAACAAATGTGGTATAAAGATACCATGGAATAATATTTTAGCTTTGAAAAAAATAAAACATTGAGAATTCCACAATGTGGATAACTTTGCAAACTTTACGCTTAAATGAAATAAGCCAGACACATCAGGACAGGTGTGTACGACACCATTTAGCGAGGTGCCTACTAGAGTAGGTGAATTCACATAGAAAGGAAACTAGAGGTTGCCAGGAGCTCGGCAGGGGATTGGTGAGGAGTGGGCAGCTCGTTACCTAGCTGATACAAAGTTTTGTTTGGGATGACAGAAAAGTTCTAGAGATGGAGGATGACAATGGTGGCAAAACACTGTGAATGTACTCAATGTCACCAATAGTTTCAAATTGTTAAAATTACAAATTTCATATTATGTATATTTGATTTTATTAAAATTTTCATTTGCATTATAGTATATTAGTCTTTTACTTCAAAATCCAATTCCTAAAAATTGACTCAGGAGATAACGCAGCAGGGTGGAACACGTATGCACAGGAGTCTGGTGACCTCCCCACCCCTCAGTATCTAACTGTGTAAGCAGTGTCTGGCACAATAAATCCATAAAAGAGACTCTTCCATGGGCATTCAATATGAAAGGGCATACCTTTCAAACGGGAAAACCTCCATTGTATTATTGTTCAATGAAAAACCAAATTACAGAATGTTTACAGAATGTAAAGTGTGATTCCGCTGATGTGAAAGTTCTATATATTCTCCAAATGTCTTAATGGTGGATTTACAGAGGTTTTGAAATGGCCCTCTTCATAATTTTCTGTACTAGTTGGATATTTTGAAGACTATTTTAACTAAACCATATGCTACTGTGAACCTATATTCATCACTTTTTCAGATCAAGAAAGGTGAGGCCTTGATACTTGCAATGAGATGTTTTCTGTGTTTTCTTTTCTACAGCAATACCTGCCACTAGAGCGCGAGTCAGACAATGTCGGAAAGGAGAGGTACCCACCTCCGTCAGCTGTGCTGGCTCTTTGTCACGTGTGAAGAGAGCTCTTATTTCAGAGCAGCACTCAACAATCATGAGCTACAAATAAGAAGGAAATACAATAAGATCGATGATTGTAGATACTGCATATTAAATTATAAGCTACTTATTTTATTGGTCTAGTTTTTTACCAACTCTAATTCCAAAGATAAAGGAGAAGTGTTCAGAAATTACAATTCTTCTACCCAGGATATAGCTCAGTGGCATAGCACCTGCCTGCCTGCAAGGTCATGAGTTTTATCCTGGGTACCAAAAAAAAAAAAAAAAAGAAAGAAAGAAAGACAGAAATTGTAATTCTTAAGTAATCAGGGTTATGCAAAATACAAGATGTCTATAAAATATAATATTTGTAATTAATCAGGAATAGCACATGATTTTAGGATTCTGTGTGTATTCATTATTGAAATTCTTATGTTAAGGCCAAGGATATAGCTCAGTGGCACAGTGCCTGCCTGGCAAATGCAAGATCCTGATTTGATTCCTGGTACTGAAAAAAAATTCCAGAAATTCATATGTTACAGGAAATAACAATATAATTAGCACCAAAGCAAGACTTTTAGGAATTGCTCTTCTGAGAAGTCCTGGGATAAAGAGGTTTAGACCTCAGAAAAAGGTTTATCCAGAGGGGAATGGCTGGAACTCAGGAGCTAAGTAAGGAGAATGAACGGAAAGGAAGGTAGAGACAACAGCGTGCACACACTGTCCGCTGGTGACACTGCTCATGCGCTTGGTTACCGCGACACAGCCATGGTTATATGGAGACATCTGGCCCAAGACACACCAACCCCGAGCCAGGGCTGCATCCGATTACCGCTATGCCACCACGTGAAGCAGGAAGACAGGAAAACCACACTTAGCACTGGCTGCGGGAAAGGCAGAGGGGAGTCGGAGAAGGAGCCACCGAGGCAGATGTGAGGGGTGAGAGGGGGACACTGGGGCGAGGGAGAAGCGAGGCCCTGGTCAACCTGCGGCTTGTGAACCTCTGGTTCCATTTTTCTTCCTCCAAACCCTTTTTACCCAAGATAGTGCTGTGTTTGTTTACTTACAACTGAGAGTCGTGACTGTGAGACTGTCAGTGCTGCCGGCCTCCAGCCCTGAGGGAAGCCACCATTTTTTTAATGACAGCATTAATACATACATGAACTAGCATTCAGAAGAGCAACATGACAAAAACACATTCGTTTTAAAATTATAACTGAGTGATGCTGGATAAAACCTTAAAGCAAAGAAGCAAACAGTAGACCTTACAGCCCCAAACCACATTATAGCTGTTTTAATAAATGCATAAACATAGTAACCATCCAATTCTACAGTTACGAAACTACAGCTAATTCATTTTAACAGATATATTCAAGAGATTATATTAAGTGCCTGGGACACAAAGATGAAACACAAAATCCTCATGTTATCTGTAGCTACTGAAAAAAATAGATTCGTACTCAGCTAAATTAAATACCAAGCAGAATGTGCTCCGATGACCTATTATAGGATCACAGAGGTGGGGAAGAGTAAATCTTGGTGTGATTAACAAGGTTGACTTCCTGGAAGAAGGTTGACAGGCGCTGAGCCTTGAACGTGTAAGAGGGTTTCCATCCAGTACAGTAGAAATTGGGCATCAGAAGGAGAGCCACTTAGCGGGGGCATTGAGGGAGCACGGGATCTGGCCACCTTTCCTGCAGGCACGTCCGAGAAGCCTGGCAGTGAGCACAGTGACAAACAGGCTGAGAGGTGCATTTGTAAGAGCAGAGCCAAGAGCAAGGAGTCTGGATTTTATTGTGGGAAATTGGGAAGAGAAGGACCGAGCAAATAAAGATAGAGGCTTTTAAAAAATTCTGACTGTAACTTAAAGGCAAACTGATCCAGAAAGAGATGCGTGTGTGCTGGAGAAATCAGCTGGGCGGCTGCTCGGACCCTCTGGGCAGAGAGCTGATGTAGCTGGAGTGGGGTGGCTACGTGGAACTAAAAAGCATGGAAGACAGGCAGGAGACCCAGCACTGGTCAGGCTGCACCCCGATGGCAAGCCCTCCAGGCTCCCGGTCCACTGCACCAGGCAGAAAGACGTGCACACCTACGCCTGTAATTCTCTTGCTCAGCTACAGTTCCATATCCCTAATCGAGTTCCCAGGTCTGGCTGAAGTATGTTTTCTTGGTATATAATCTGTTTCTGTAACAGCCATGATGGGTTACTGTTCTGATTCCATCAAGAGCTATCAGGGAAAGTGACACTGTCTGTGTCATTAATCATCTCACATAACAGATGAAGAGGGCAGTGTTACATGATAGATGCCTTCTGTCCCCTGTCTCAACATTTGTCAAACAGAAATTCCCTCTCTTCCACAGCCTGTTACCCTGGTATTATTGGAATAAAACCACATGCACACATTGTGAAATTGGCTGATTTGAGGTTGTGGCTGTGAGCTTCTGCCCCATGACCCTGCAGCCACAGATACAAGGCAGGAGCAGCCCAGAGCCCATCCATCCAAGCCAGAAAGTGGCTAGAAGCATGTCATAGCTACAAGGGAGAGGAAGAGCACAGAGTGACTCATGCTCAGTTTTTGCCATGTCTCCTCTCGGAGGAACGTTTGTTGACTCTATGAAGACGGCCACTGAGTGACTTCCAATTAGCCAAGCTTAGAGGGACTTAGGACGCAATACTAAGCTCTCCTGCATCTCTGGAATTCTCTTGAGAAGGTTTGAGAAAAGGAGCAAGCTGGCCCTGCTCACCCCCCTCTCCACTTCCTCGTTCCAGACGTGACCCTGCTTCAGCTGGCACCCCCACCATCTGCTGGTCAACGCGGGCCAGAGCCAGAGCCAGTCTGTACCACATGTTTGAATCCTCAAAACAGGGAGCTTAAAAGAAAACTCTTTTATTCATAAGAAGCCTGCACCAGATTTCATTATGGATACAAAAACTAGCTAGTATGGTTGGGAAAAAGATTTAGAAACTTCTATGTGTGATTAAAGGATTTACCTATGGATCTTCCCGGGAAAGACTCCATAGAGAATAACATTCACGATCAAATTGTAAGTGCAATGCTTTGCTAGTTCAGGGTTACCAGATGGCTGGGACCATTGTGAATGACCTGTGGCCATGTATGCACACACGCGTGCACACATACATACACACACAATCATTAAGCTTCTCCACAACAGGGACCCAGCTGTACTATTTACTTCCCTAAACCTGGAAAACTTGTGCACAAATGGTTTCTCGGAAAGAATTCGATAATTCATGATAATCTCTAATTGTTGTTTTGGCCTCTGCTTTCATAAAATTTTGATGATGGAGATGTTAGCTGTATACTAATTTTAACTGCAACATCGAGGCATTCCATAAACATTGGCTGAACTAATCTTATGTGACTTGTAAAACATATGTTGTTTCCTCCACCAGCATTTATCATGCCAGATGAAGTGTTCGCATCTTAAAATCAGGATGGTTTGCATCTTTGCTAGGCTTTAAAGCACCTGATATACTCTGAATATATTTTTAAGCTGTGAATGACGGATCACAGTAACTTGGCCTTTCTGAGCTGGGGTGGCTCATTTTGAAGGAGGCATGAGCCTTTCAAACCAGAAGTGACTAGAACACCTGTTATGTAGCCTTCCTAATTCCTCTTAAATTAATATTGTGTTCTAAAGTTCTTGGCTTACTCTGTATCCTAGGGATTTCAACAAAGAAAAGAAAAAGTAGAGGAATGAGAAAAAAGTATCAACAAGAGGCACATCTTTGGCTTTTTATATTCAATAACTCACCAATAATATACATTGTAATGGAATAAAATTAAAGAAGCTATGAAATCACATTCAAGGCCAGAATCGATCTCTTCAAGTGTCCTAGTTAACTTCTAATTAGTGCCAAGTGAAGGTTGTCATGACAACGAACTAGCAAATTTAGTCAATGAGATTTATTTGATATAACTCAGGGTCTAGATATTTTTTTAAAGTCCTGGTTTTTACAGTGGAAGGAAAAAGTAAAATCTCTTTATTACTTCCATTTCTCAACTTTCAAGTGTTGTGAGTTCATTTACTTGCCAATTCATCTAAACAAGAACACTTGTACTTCTTCTGTCTGGTGATTTTCTTTAATATACAAAACAAACAAGAACCAGAATATATCTAAAATGCCTTACTTTAAAGCTAAAGAAACATTTCCTAAGTGAGGAAGATAAGTTCAAAAACATGGAAGAGAACATCAGGATTAAAACAGCTTGCTTGGCCTGGCATGGTGGCATGTACCAGTAATCCCACCACTCAGGACACTGAGGCAGGAGGATCACTGTGAGTTTGAGGCTAGCCTGGGCTGTGTAGTGAGTTCAAGGCCAGAATAAAATAAAAACAGTAAGTTCCCAAGTGATGAACAAGTTTCATTCCGTGAGAATATTCGTAAGTCAGATTTGTTCGTAAGTCTGACAAAGGTAGTCTCGGTCTGTATTTTCAGTTCTGGTTCCCAGGTTATTGCCTTGTGCTTCCCTGCCCTGTCCCCTGCCCCTCCCCACCGCTCCTCCACCTGCTTCCAGGCAGCCTGAGCTCTGAGCACTGTATGGTGAGCACACAGGGCACCACTGTGATGGTGTCCAGCAGACACAGGAGCTACTTCTGAGACTAGTTTGCACCTACAAATCTTTGTAATGTGAAGCCCATTCATACCTGTGAAAGTTCACAACTCGAATATTCATAAGTCACAGATTTACTGTACACAGTGAGACCTGACTAAAACAAAACCAGTCTGTTCTGTTTGCGGGTCATTCAAGTCAGGACACAAAAGCAAGCCACAAGCCTTCGCTAAGGCAAGCCTTCCCTCTTCTGCTCACCTTTGGCCTCTACAGCCTCTCAGCCCATAGTGTCCTAATTTGTTTATAGTCACAATCAGAAACCCGGTTCCTTGGGATGAAATTTCACACCTAATTCTCACTGCCAGGGATATTCAGGACAATCTACCCAAAGAGCCCTGCTTTCCATTTCACGGCAGTATTTGAGTGAAAACATCATTTACTGCAGACATGAGAAGAAAATTAATGCCCAGAAAGGGTAATGGACTGGTCCGCTAGAATCCGTAGACTTACGGACTCTGTCAGACCTCAGATAACCTAAGTAGGAAAGATGTTATCAGTTTGGTAGGAAATAATCATTTTCCATATACAAACTGTGTAGAGGTAGATTTAGGGACAATTTTGTCAAAGAATATTCTCAACAATGGCTGAAAGACTGCAATCTGGTCTGTCTGTCTGTCTGTCTATAACGGAAAAACTGTGATTGTAGATGCTCTTTGAAAATTAAAAGTGCTGAATTCTTCTTGGAAATAGACAGGAGACAGTAGCATAGGCTTATAAAAGATATATATCTATTTGTAAAATCTGGGTTTGGGACAGTTCGAGCTGCCTGCTCTGCTGCAGGATTTATTACAAGCACCAGTACTATGTATCAGTAAGCATCCTAATGTACGTGCCGGCAGCTGAGGGCGCAGAGAAAGATGCGGAACCAAAATGTTAAGACGTCTGCTCTGTGCTAAAGCCAGAGACACAGCACAGGAAATGTAAATGCTGGCAAGTGGCATTTTGCAAAGGCTAACTATACCGCCTGATAAGGTTCTCACATCTGCGCCAGCCCTTCCGTAATGAAAAATGCATTTGCTCACTCTACTGGTAATTGAGACTGAAAATGCCAAAGTATAGTTTGCAAAGCAGAGAAGTTACCAATTTTTACATTTTGACACGGTAAGACCATGGACCGGGTAAATAAGCAAACAAAGAACCACTCTGATACAAACTGCTCAAGAATTAAAAAGTATTTTGGTACTGGGTAATCCATGAAATATAAACATAGCAGGAAATGACTTAAGAAAAACAATCTTCCAAACCAGAAACAGAACAAAAGCAGGAGGGGACTCAGGCTGGAAGGCAGCAAAGAGCAACTCAGAACAGCTGGGCGTCGGCTTCGACAGGAGCAGGAGGAAGGCAGAATTTCCATATGTGATGAGTATGAACTGTAAGTAAAAATCTACACGGAACCCATAAAAGATCAGTGCAATAAATAGAGAAAGTGAAAGACAAGTCCAAGTCCAGAGAACTCAGCAGGCTGCAGCTCAGGGATAGAGCGCTTACCTGCCATGCAAAGGGCCCGGTTTCAATCCCCAGCTCCAAAAGCACAGGGACGAAAGAAAGAAGGGAGGAAAGAAGGAAAGGAGGGCTGCAGGCAGCTAAGTTAGATGGAGGTGAATACACAGTCAGAGGGCGCTGGGCTGTGAAGGAATTAGCAGAAAAGAAAGACATCAAACTGCATCTGAAGACCAGGCCTCACGACACAGAGGCAGCGGCCAGGCCCACGCGCCATCCAAGGGATCAGCAGCATCCTGGAATTATATGTAAGTATCACCCCCTCCCCCACCCCGTCCAGGAAGGTCAACTAGGAATCGGTAGCCGAGGCGAGTGGCCAGAGCATCCAGACCATCGCTTCTCCAAAATGCCTTGGTTCTTTCTGTGTGCCCATGGTACATGACCCGCTTCCCTACTGCAACAACATTAGCGAACCGGCCCCTCTTGTAATCTTATTGGTTGATCACAGCTTGACCCATGTTGTGCTCAAGTTTGATTTTGTACCCACCTTGTGATTTTGCTTTCTAAAATATTTTTAGAGAAACGAACTCAGTGACAACCCACTTCCAGGATCCCTCCTGTCTCTCAGGAGCTATCTCTCCATAAACCTTTCCTACTATTAACCTCCTTTGACCTTTGGAATTCATTCTTCAATTTCAGGGGACACAAACTCAGCCCATCTGATGCCTAGCAGGTTGGGATTTATATTTCTCCTATATTGGAAGGAAGAAAGGAAGGACAGGAAGGAGGGAGGAACCAAATGTCTAAGAAAGGAAAATAATCACAGTACAACCCTGAGTCAGTTGTGAACATTATTTATAAGGTCATAATAATACAAATGCTAAATATTGGTCTAACTAACTTTTGTGATGTAGTAACATTAAGAAGAGAAAAGGAGGGGTTGGGAGGAAGTGGTAATGTACCTAAATCCCGTAATATTAAATCAACAGATACTTCAAGAAAAAACAGATACTGACCTCAAGGCTTTCATTAGCAGCATTCAGCCATATTTCTGGTTTTCCTACTTCCAAAATGGTAGTAGTGAAATTGTTGGTACAGAGTATAACTTATTTGGCCAATAAAACATTAATAGATATGATGAGAAGGAAACTCAAAGAGCCAGTGTGTGATTTTCCCGCTCTGCTGTTCCCTATGACGCCGGCGTCACCAGCCTGGATGCTGGCACAAGGAGACACGGAAAGGCCCTGCTGACTCATTAGGGCTTCTAGGTAGTCTGTTACTTCACCTCTCCTGGCTGATAGTGCATATTACTTATAGACTCGGAAGCAGTTAGCAAAAGGCCACCTAAATGAGCTGAAAGTGGCTGACAGCCCTCTGCCAAGCAGGACTGTAGAATGAAGGGAGCCCGAGCAGATCACTGCCTTTCATTTTGGGCCATTTAGAGCTGTTTGGTCCTTTCAAGAATGTCCACAACAGCTATAGGTTAGATCAAGAGAGAAGACCAATAGACAAACAGAACCGCCTGGATCCAGTGTTGGGGAAAACATGCACTTTCTATCCCTACCCCCAGAGGGTAAGAAGTTCCACTCTGTTCCTGAAGAAAGAGGGGCACTGCTGGTGCTTCTGGACTCACGACCAATTTACCCCAGGAGAAAGGAACAACTTATTTGATGGGAGTTTAGGAGAAGCAACCCAGAAAGCCAGGCTCAGTCCCCTCGGGCAACCTTTGTTTACATGTTTTGGAGGCGCCCGGCCCGCAGGACTGCTATTCTCCACTTGCTCCCTGCAGTAAGCTTGGCAGGGCGCAGAAGGGAATGGGAAGGCCTGTGGTCACACATCTACTGGAGATGACTCTGCGGCTAGGTGGGGAAATCTGGCTCATTCGGTGCTAAAATATTAATAAGCTCATCTGGCCACAGATGCACCGCAAATCAGCCTGATGAGTGATGATGCTGATATTTCGATTCCTCCTGTCTGTCTCTGGTGCCCCATTTCTCAGTGGGCTCAGCGCTGCAGGCGGCCAGAAGGAAAACGATCTCCTGCTCCCCTCTAGTACACAAACTTCCCTTGGCACAAAACCCACCTGGCCTTGTGCTCAGATTAATAGCACACTAGAAAGATAATCACCCATCCTCCCGTTCTTATAAGAAAAATACATACGCATAAAATATCTGAAAGGGTGCATGCTTATCTATATTTTCTGGTTTTTGTTTATACAGTTAGATAATAAAAATATTGAAATAATAAAGCTAAAATGCAAAAGTAATTTTATAAAGTTACAAAGCATCATTTCTTGGGATTCACAATTATACTAAATAGTTTCTCTAGATTGGTTTTTTCTAATTCACTATCAATTTCTTGTCATGAGTATGCTCAGAAGAGCTTTAAAGGGAAGGCAATTCACATGTCCAAAAGTTGGATGTGATAACAAAAGTAAAGAAAACAGTACAAAAAATCATAAAGTTCACGTTTAGTTATGCACTTCTGCTTTTATGAAGTAAAAAATAAATCTGTGTAATGTACCCACCCTGCAACAGGAATGCCATTTCTATTACTTAGTAACTTACTTCCATATCTGTGTCAACCGTCACCCCCACTTCTTCTCTGTCACGTATGTCTTCACATGAAGCAATTTCAGGAATTGATGGCAATGATATCTCAGCTATTTGTGCAAGATTAGATAGCTTCTCATGAATTGAAATAACTCTAAAAAATAACAAATATATATACATTTTATTTGAAAAGTTAGTAAGGCATTGACTTATTTTTAGAGCCAATAAGATGTATAAATAAGGTTGCATTTATCAGATTTCTGATGGCCCCAGACACCATCCCTGCACTCATTCCCTTCACGTAGAAGACATAGAAAGAAGCTAAGAGGCACAGCCCTAACTGACCCACATACACACTGAGGTTTATACATACTACAGCGTGGGCAGGGTGCAGTGAAAAGAAAAGTGTACCCCCAAATTACTGCTGAAGACAGAAATAAAGAAAACAAACATTGCACAGGTGAGGAAACTCTAAGTGATTACTCCCGTGTAAATCTTAACATTCCGCTACTGTTGTCTGGCTGACTGATGGTAAGAGGTTTGACAAGTTAGCAAGGGCCGGAAAAAGCCAACCGTGAGCCCAATGCAATCATGCATGGCGGGGAGACAGGAGGGGAAGAGAGCTACAGAGGGAAATCAAGACAGAAGGAAAAGGAAGAGCCAGAGAAGAGGCAGAAGACACTGGGGCCGGATTACTGAAGACGTGGAACTTCAGAGGCTCTAGCCAAGGACAGCGGTCACCCCAAAGGCGGAAGTGGACCAGTGGAGTGGAGAGTAAAGGTAGTTCTGCCAAGGCCCATCTGTGTGGCCTTTAGGGACTCTTCCTAGGGACACATCACAAGGATGTGCATTGCATGCATGCATGCCCAGCTCCATGCGAGGAGGAAAGGAACCATGAAAAATAAATGACCCCAAAACCAACTGGCACCAGCAGGATACACAAAACGCTGAATTTCCCAGCATTCTGCAGCACCCTTGTCTGCAACCTGGAGTAGTATGTGATTTTCCTAATGAAGCAATACCATGTTACAAGTATCTACTTATACATGAGGGTTTTAATTTATATAGTATGCTTTACAAACTTGGCCATCAAAGAAGCAAATGCTACAGTATAAAGATTTGTTGTTAAAAGCTTATTTGAAAAATCTGTCCATGTGCAAAATGGATCACTCCCAACAATGCTGGAAAAGCTGTCTGAGCCCCTGGAGAGAGAAGTGAATCATCCCTTGAAGGATGTGGTGAGTCACACTTGGTCCCACCACATACAAGCCACGTGGCCTCGAATGAGTCACAACCTCTCGGACCCCAACATTTCTTCTACTGCAAGATTCAGGAATATGACCTACTTCATCTACTTTGCAGGGCTTTTGTAAAGAAGAAACAGTAGAACTCTATGAATTTTCAACCATCAAAAACATAAAGAAAAGATGAGGCTCTACAACACCATTCTTCATTCGAATACTTAAAAGAAAGAAAAATCTTATTTCTCTTCCAAAACTGCCACAGGGCTGAGTGGCAAAGCACTTGTCAGGCATGCACAAGGCCCTGGTTCAACTCACGCCTTCTCACAAAAGACAAAGACAAAAACAAAGACAGCACAACTTCCTTTCATAATGCTTAAGACTACTCCCTTGGCCTCTGGGTTGTAGATTGTCCTGAATGCTCAGAACTGCAGTGATGTCTACTGTAGAGCAAACGGACCAGCCTAGTTCTGAAACAAGCCTGTCTTGGCTCACTGGCCTGCTTCAGTTCTCACCACCCTTCCACTTACTCCTGTTCTCTACCTTTCTCTCCAGATCAATGCAGGATGAGCGTTTAGCCACCTTGACTCTACACACATCATCTCTCTCCTGTCTGGGTCAACCAAGCTCGCCGTGGCCTCTACAGCCCTGGGTACTGGGGCATCCTTCACCCCATCTGCTGTGGCCTGGAGGGCAGGAGCCAGCTGCAAGTAGATGCTTGAATGGGAGGATGCTGGGCAGAGAACTTGATCTTGATCACGACAGCTTAACTACCGCTCAGAACTATGTTGTAACTCTCATGACAATTTACTATGAGCATCATTTTTTTCTTGTTATTGTTAAAAAATACAAAAATTGAAAATATTTTTCTTTATGAGAACTTAAATGGAACATTTAAGAAAAATAGATAATGAAAGGAGAATTTCCTCTCATTTTTTTTCTTTTGGTACCAGGGATAAAACTCCTGACCTTGCGCTTGCCAGGCAGGCACTTAGGCCACTGAGCTAAATCCCTGGCCCTCACTTACTTTTTTCTAATGCAATTTATTCCTAAAGAATAAGCAAGTATCTACTTGACCCTCCTCAGAACACAAGGAGTGCTGCCCAAGTGACAGAGGCAGTCCATGAGCACGGTGCCACCAAGGGACAGGTCTGCTGAAAAAGCCCCATGCTCTGTGATAGCCTCGGTGACAGGGCTAGCTCCTGCTTTGGGAACTTTACTATTCACTGTAAACACACCAAAACTAAGAACTTACTGTAAGAGAAACAAAGCGCATTGCTGGTTGGCTTTCTATTTTGCACACATTATAATTATTTTCATCATGTAGTTCTGAGATACAAAATCTTGCAATGTTTCTGGATTTATAAGGCAAGTGTAAAACTTCCTAATTTTGTTGTTCAGCTCTGCTGCCATGTGACCTGTACCTAAGGGTGTTTTGTTTTGGGAGTGTTTTTTTTTTTTCTCTTTTTCTCAAAAAGCTAAAAAGAAATCAATAAATAATTCCAAATTCCAAATAATTCCAAATAATTGGAAGTCTTCCAGATTTTGAAATGTTTCTTGCTTTATTCTCTTTTGTGAGGAGACCAAGAAATCCTTCAAAATGAAAATCAGGAGCCGGACAGAACTCGGGAAGGAGCAGGAAGCAGCAGCAGTCTGCTCACCCACTTCGCGCTGTGCGAGCGACACAGGCCGACACGGCGGCATTGGTGTCTGGGCTTTCCACAGCGCATCCCTCCACTGTCAGATCTGATGCCAGCCTGCAAGCCTGGCAGAGTAGGCGGCATCCTTCCCATCTTACAGCGAAAGAAACAAAAGACAGCAACATCCCGAGGGCAATGATCAGTAGATCAAAATAAACTAGCAATGAAAGAGCTTCTTTTAATTTTTAATTAAAAAAAAAAACAGATACAATGGAATAGAGAAAGACAGAAATGTACAAGAGACAAAAGCTCGGGTCGGTCCTGTTTGGTGGGGAGGGAGGGAAACGCTTGGCCACCGCAGAAAGAGCTAGTACAGAGAGGAAGATGAGGCAAGAAAGCCGGTGAAGCCTGAGCTCCCTTTTGCAACTCACACAGTTACTAGTATTTGTTATATGCATCAATTACAGGCAAAATATACTGCAGACAACATCCTTCTACAATCTGCAATCTCTATGAAGTGTCATGAACTCTTCAGCAACCCACTGGACTGTCGCTATTGCTGTTTTTCCCACTGAAGACACCGGGGTATACAGTGGTTCAATGAACTGTTTGTTGAGTGCTGTAACTTGGCAAGGGCGGTCACTGGCATTTGAGTCAAACATACGGAATCCAGAGTTCACCCTACAGAGTTGGTGGGATAGAGTTCATGTGTACTGTGCTCCTCTAAAGAAGACAAAGACTCAGGCGAGGCTCTCCTGAACTGCATCATTGAGACAACCTGTTCTGATGGGAAACAGTATGGAGGCTGAGCTGTGAGGCCAATCCATCTCTACTTGCCTTTTCAGTGGAAGCCACAAAGAGCCAACGCATACGTTGTTAGACGTGGAATTTCTAATATCTGTAGCCTTCGTGGGCTTCATACTATATGCATACAATAATAAGACCTGTAAGCAAAAGAAAAACATAACTAGCAAAATCACACTGCCTCACAACGTTCAGCATGAGTCCTCAAAATCTAACTGCACTTTGTCAAGGTTTTTCTTTAGGGAAAAAAAAAAAAAACCTGAAGGCCCCCCTCCCCCCATTCAGTGTAAAGAGAAATGATAGGAATGACAATTGTGCCAAGGAGGTCAGATGAAAATCTAGCACCATTTGGTGATAATAAATTATTTCTAAAGGGTGATTCTGCACTTCGATGAAGTTTCAATTTCAGCCTTTGAAGGCCTTTTGTTGCAGGTTCTAAAGACACACCTGGTGAACGTCCGATTGTATTTCCTGTTCCTTCCCATGTGTGCCTTTCCCTCAGCATCCTACCCACCCCCATGAACTCCCTGACGCTGCTCCCTTCCTCTCCCCTCCATTATCGAGCCACGCCTGACTTGCAACCCCCACCCCTAAGAGGTGGCTTCTCTTGACGACGCATGCTCTATTAAGTCCCGTTGTGCGGATTCCGATGATTCACGGTGTCAGCCCCCTACGACACAGCACTGACTTACAGCCATGTATTGGCGGAATTTGAGATTCAGATAGCCTTGGAGATGATCTGGTCTAATTCTCTCCTCCTAGATGAAGAAAGCTGAGGCCCACAGCTGGCCCTCCAACTGACTAATCAAGCACTTTCATTTATCCTGCTTCCTTGAAAAATCAAACTAAAATAAGAGTAAAGGGATTTTTTTTTAAATCATAAAGCCACGAGGACAGGAAGAAGACAGGTGAGACAACAGTGTTAGTAACACTCTGCTGGTGACAAAGTGCGTGGAAACACGGCGAGGAAGGTGTACGCCCAGAAGGTCTCGAACAAAGAACTGCAGAGCCGGGGCAGAGGCAGGCGCTGAGGCAGCTGAGCTGTACGACTTCCCTCCCAGCCCTCTCTGGGACCAGACTGACAGAGTCACCCCTTTCTTTGTCACCTTTCTTATGGCCAAACTTCTTCCGTGCTGCTCTGCTGATATTAATCAGAGAGGCTCTATACTCAGAGACGTCAGGTACAGACGTAGGTACCATGGAGAAAATACTAAAATTAATGTATTCTGAATCACATATATTCTCCTACCCACCAATAGCCCTTTTCCAGAATGTAGGTGACTAAACAGGAATCTATAAAAATCCTCTTTGGGGGAACTGACCAGTCAAACAGAAAAGACCCAAGACACTGACATTCTGCATCCTCTAACGAACTGCTGGTTCCTTCTTAACAATCCTATAATCAGAGCTCTGGATCAATAAGCCTAACCCAAAGTGCTTCCCAGTGCCTCGCTCCAAACACGAGTAGACAGCCAAGAGTCCACTGGTCAGGAAAGGGAAGGCAGAAACCAAACAAACGAAAGAGAGGAATTTGGGGAATCAGATACAATCCAGAGCAGAAAAAGCTTCAATGAAACCGTGATTAACACCTCAGAGAGGACAAATACGACCAATAACACACTGCAATTAAAACAGAACAACCAGGGAACAAGTAAGAGCTCTTAAAAATGTAATCCCTGAACTAAATAACCAACGAAAGATCTGAAACATAGAGTCTATGTCCCCCAAAGTGAAATCTAAATTTAAAAGCATAGGTAGTAGAAAAAAGACAAGAAAATTAAATAATCTAATATGTTCAGTATTCAAGAAGACGCAGAGATAATCAGAGGAAGGAAAGTGTAAAAGGAAATAGCTCTGTAGACAGGAGAACATTATTGTCCAGATTTCAAAAGGCACCCTAAATGTCTAGGACCAAAATGGACAAACAATGGACACCAAGACACATCACAGATTTTCAGAACACAGGGGACAGAAGAAAGTCCAGAGCTTCCAAAAGTCAGAGAGACTTAAGATTTCACCACTGGATTTGTATACAAAGAAAATAAGTATGCCAAAGATGTGTCTGCACGTTAGTGCATTTCCAGCACTGCTCACAATGCTGACATACAAAATCAAGCTAGATGGATGAAGAAAATATGTTCATAGTGGAATGCTCTTCAGCTAGAAAGGGATGAAATTCTGTCACTCATGACAACCAGAATGAACCTGGAAGATCTAGTGTTACTTGAAATAAGCCAGACCCAGAAAAATAACTACAGTGTAATATCATTTACATGTGGAATCAAAAAGTCAACTGCGCAGAACCTGAGGGTACAATGGCGATTACCAGAGGCCTGGGTAGATTGGAGGAAGGTGAGGAGATGTTAGTCAAAGGATATATAATTACGGTTGGGAAGAATTCACATTTTAAGTATTCGCAATAAGCAAATATAAACAGACAAACAGTAGATAAACCACTGTGGGGTGGGAAGAGATACAGAAGGATAAATATTCTAGAATTCTCTGCATAAAAAATAAGTGCTAAAACAAAAGCTTCTTTTTCAGACATATTAAACCATTTTACTTCTTAGATAATTTCTGTTAATGTACTGCAAACCTGTTGGCATCTCAGGAGACATTTATAACGGTGCTGGTCCTTGGTCAAATCTGAAGGAAAAGTACATATTCATGATAAAAATAGTCATGTTTTGTACTCTGAAACTCACCAAAGTATAGCCTGTACCATCTTGTTAACTTTTTAATTTATTTTTTTACAGAAAATGTGCATGTTGGTGATTTACGTCTAGATTCTATTGTTATTTTTATTCATAGGACTGTGACCCTACATACAATTTGGACTACATGAACAAAGATATAAAATACTGCTCCTTGGATAAGACAGCATCTTACAGAGACCAAATTGTCTCATCATATTTCTCTGGCTCCATGATGCATACATGAACCATGTCCTTTTCAATAGAGAGAGAGCCCTGGACAACTGGATCTGTTAATGATGACCAGGGCTTTCTGTGTCCTCTTGTCCTATGCATCTTCCTAAGGTCCTTTATGAACACACTTTATGGAGCCCAGTGCATCCTTTGAAGAACACCCTCTGTTAAGGGGTTGCAAACATCAGACACATCTGTGCAAAGGTCTAGATAAAGACAGAGAAATGTGGGATTCGGTGACAGAGAGCACACCTCACAGGTAGCTGAAGGAATTCTAAAGAGGATGGAGAATATGACTCTTAAGATGACAGGTAAGCTTTGAACGCAAATGAATCTTGGCATTAATCTAAAGAGGAAAGCATAAAACAGCATTGAGAGATATGTTGATGAGTTGAGCCCTATGAACTGGGTAGGTCTTTGGAAGTTTGGGAGGCTGGGAAACCAAGCAACCAGCTTGCCTCCCTGGTAAGCACCTGTGGCTCACCAGTGTCTCCTGAGATCCATGCCATGTTGGAACTTAGGGTGCTGGGAAACCAAGCAACCAGCCTGCCTCCCTGGTAAGCAGCCTTGAGCCTACTGGCGCATAGGCTGAGAGTCAAACATCCCATCCTCCCACCTATCCCCGCCCCCCTCCCCATTAGCAAATGGGAGCCAGAGGACTGAGCATCTCTTGGGCGGTTGACCATATGCAATACAGCAAATAACGGGGATTCCCTTCTACCATCTCTTTGAAGGCAAATATTTTTATCACTGTTTTACTTTGTTCTGATGGTATTGTTCTACTCAATATTCTGTTTTGATAAGTTCTATAATGTTCTGTATTTCATTCGATTTTGCTATACCTGACGGAAAGAACAAAATCATGAAGATAATGAGATATACTGTGGTACCTATTGCTGTTATCCCGGTAACCTGCTGTGAAGTTTTGTACCAATTTCACTGCACTGTCTCAATTGGCTTTGTTCCATCTTGTTCTGCTATATTTTACTACCTTCAAAATAATAAAAAAGTTTTTAAAAAAGAGAGTTTGAGAAGAATCAGATTCTAAAACATGTAGAAAACGAAGTTAAACAAAGAAGAGCAATTTTCCCTCTTCAGAAAACAAATACAGGAAGAAGAAACAGTCCCACTTGGCTCATCTGAGTTATATCTACAGCTGAAAGGTAAACATTGACTTCAGTTTAAAGAACTGTGCTGGGACAGGATGGGGAAGGGACGGAAGGTAGGAGGATGTGACAGAGGCTGTGAGGTCAGCGTGAGCCTCCATCTCCCACAGTAGCATGGGAGCTTGGTCACTCAGGAAACCATGGGAGCACACAGCTTCGACTTGACAGCTTCTGCTTTCGTTATGGCCCTAGATTCTTTTCAGTATCTTGCTGTATCTGGGCTGGTCTTGAATTCATGACCTGCTTACCTGGGACCCTGAGCTAGGATCCTCCAGAAAAGAACACTAACCCCACACCTCTTTCTCCCAGACTGGCAGGATCCGTGCACTGAGTAAACACATCTCCAGGCACAGTTCCACTCTATCCAACTCTGTGTTTTCACCTGTCAGCTGAAGTCAGGCTTTTCCATGTCTTGCTTGATTGGACTTTCTGCACTTGGTCATGCTTGTCTGCCTGTCTTCTGCAGTCTCGGGATACCTTGCCTGCTGTTGACTCTTTATTATCCTGTATCATTACTGACTCCGAATTGTACTTTTTTGAGTCTGATCAAGTTATAAACACAACTCAAATTTCATTCTGCACCATAAGTGGGAACCTGAATGCTCAAAGGAACAGAATGGTCAGGCAGATTAAAGTTTAAGGTGCTAAGGTATAACCTTGAACCAAATTTGGATCATGGGGTTTTCAGTCCTGGCTCCATCTTTCTGTCGATGAGCTGTGGTGATATGTCTCTCTGACTTAAATCAACTATTCTTCACAGCTGTTTTTAAGACCGGTCTTAAAACTCAACCAGGTTCATTAAAATGATAGTCAGGGGCAGATGTGATGGATTGACAACTTGTGGTCAACTTGTAATACCAGCTGAAATGAATCAGTGTGGTGCTGAGCATGGATGGCCCAACTGAGGATTTTTGCCAGCGTAAAAAGGAGACGTGGAGAGGAAGAGTTTAGTGTTGTTGGTTCTCCTGCTCCCTGGGTTCTCCTGGAGGAGCTTGTTGAGCTTCTCTCCTGGTATGAACTCAGCTATTCTCACCATCAGGGGATCTTGGAATCTTGTCACTGAGAATGGCTGTGGTTCACTTTGGGGGAGCTCTGGTCCTTACTTTGAGCATCACTCCTGGCCTGGAGAGGAAGACGTGGGCTATTCACTCTCTGGAGAAGCTTGTCATGCTGAATTCCTGATATGAACTCTGCTGTTCTCACAGTCAGAGGAGCTCAGGACCTTGTCAGCGCTGAGGAGGGCTGTGATGCTTTGCAGAGGAGCCCAGGTTCTTACTTTAAACATCACTTATGACTCTGGTACAGAACCCTCAGCCTGCTGGCACAGATCCTTCATCTCATAGGCACAGACTTTCCAGCTTCTGCCACTGACCTTTGGGCCTTCCCAGTACAGAAAAAGACTTGCATGAGTCCTTGTCGTGGGCTCTGGGCCTCCAGCTGGACTCATAGTGGACACTGTCATGGGTTCTAGGTCTTCAGCTGGACTCATGCAGGACAATGCTGTGGGATCCAGTCCCTCAGCTGGATTCCTTGGGTGTTAGTGTACGGTCAGATTTCCTGCACTTCTTATACTTAACACTTTGGGTGACTGTATAAAATAATCCTGTAAATTCTGGGTCCCATATTGTCTTGTTTTCTTGTACTCCCTGACTACAAGAGTAAGGTCCTAGAAGACACTGAAATTTTCAGGAGATGTGTGTGTTACAATGAAGTTTCAGTGGTTACCTGGCCATACAGTTCTGTACTGTACTAAAGATTATTTTTCCAAATGGTTAATTTCTACCTGCTACACTAAGAAGTTAAACATTTCCAAGGTATGCACAACTCCAAACTACAATGACATGGAGATATTTATCCATCCATATTTATCGAAAAAGTTCCAATTGGAATTCCCAATGCCAGGACTCCTCTGAGGCACTCCTAGCTCCTACTGACATGTTCGTTTCACTGCTGTTGTTACAATGATGCTCATCAAGTAGGTGGATGTGAATTCACTGGGTCAGCAATGACCTTCAGAGTCCTTGGAGACTCCAAAGTGTGAAGCAGATACTAGTTCTCACTGCCATCTTTTTCAGAGGCTAGGGGCCCCTTCAATCATCACCCAAGGACTCCAAACAGCCCGGTGCCAAGGAGCACAGCCTCTGGAGTCAGGCTGCTCCAATCTCACTCCTTGCTGCCCCATATTCATCCATCCTATATCTCAGTCTCCTCTTCTGTGAAATGGGACTGTGATATTACTTACCTCAGAGTTAGTGTAATACAGTATCCAGAACACAATCAGCCCTCCACAAGTTCTCACTATTATTAAGCTATGGATTGCCTGAGCGTCAGTCAGTTATTCAGCAGCAAACACTAAAGTCCTCAAATGATGGCCAATATTTATGACCATTATGACCATTAATGCCCATTATTTAAAGCATCAAATTTCAGTGTTCTCTTCCAAGAAAGATAGCATTGGGGATCTGAGATGATTTAGTTCTTACAAGTCACTATTTCTCAATTTTTGACCTAAGACAGCAACTGTATCTTTTGTCATGATCAATACACACCCACTTACTATTAAAACTGAAAAGACAAGAAAAAGAAAGCTTCACCCAAACTAACAAATGAGAGAACTCTGTGTTCTACTTATTTTCTTGCGGCTTGAGAAAATCACTGTGTTTCAATCAGAATTCCTTAGCTGGATCTTCGCTTCTGCTCTCTGACCCCAGTTGGTAAACCCTTGTTAACTGTCAGGATTGTTTATGGGCAAAACCTTGTTCTCGTCAGGCCACACATGTACTCGCAGAACTTCATTCTTGGATATTTCTAAGGTGGTACCGAGACGCCCAGGTCATCCTGTCCTGGTCACCCTTACAACTCTGATGTTTCCATGACTTTGGAAATGAGTGGAAACTTTATTCCTTATTTTTTAAAACTAATCACTTAGGTAAGCATTCTGCTTTATAGTTCTTAATTATGATAGAAGATGAATAGCAACCTAAGAAATTTTGCTTTTAACACTATATACCATGAGATAAAAGGTTCAGAAAGCCTTTTTACCTACTATACATGAAGCATTCTGATATTTTCCTCATGCTTTGTTTCTTTTTTAAAATGCTACTTATGATCTACCTACATTGATTTTCTGACTAATATTCTTGGAACCACAATTTTTGAAAACTACTTTAGAAATTTCCCTAAAAGATATTATAAATCATTGTTTTAAAATGTAGATGTATGGGCCATGGATATAGCTCAGTGGCACAGCATCTGCCTGGCAAGTGCAAAGTATTGAGTTCGATTCCCAGTGCAAGAAAGAAAGAAAAGGAAGGAAGGAAGAAAGGAAGGGAAGAAGGAAGGAAGAAGGAGAAAGAATGAAAATAAAATGTATATGTAACACCCAGCAAGGAAGTGCGGGAAGAGGGGGACGGAAGGTGCACGTGGTACCCACGGGGTTCCGCGTGTGCAAACTCAACTAACCGAAGATCTAAAGAACTCAGAAAAACTGTGTCTGCACTTGTGTTGAGGATGTACAAACTTTTTCTGTAAACAGTACAGCCTAACAACTCTTACATATCATAAGTAATGTAGAGGTGATTTAAAGTATATGGGAGGACATGTGTATGTTATATGCAAATATGAAACCATTTTATAAAAGAGACTTGAGCATCCATGGATTTTAGTATCTTTGCAAAGTCCTGGAACCAACCTCCAGCAGATACTAAGAGACGAGTGTATTGAAAAAGGCAGGGAATGGCTTTAAGTCTATCTGGGAAGAAATCCGCTGAAGTTTCTCCTTTTATCTGAATGGAAAGAGATATATCATTGGCCAACAGTTAGTCAAGTTTGTACCCTAAGGAAGCAGGATGAAGAGCCCCACGTGGGAAGCCACGGCAGAGAACAAACAGAGGGAGGCCCAGTGGGTTTCACGGTTTGACAGGGGTCACGTGAGTCAAGGAGTTGCGGTGACTACCAGAGGCACAGCTAGAGGGGACAACACTCAAGGGCGGGAAGAGCCAGAGTAGACCAACGCGGAAGACAGAAAGGCAAATAAAAATGCTGAGCGGGGAAGAACTATAGGGTGAATATCTTATGGAACAAAACAGAATAGCCTGAGGCTCTGCACAGAGAAAGCAGGAATCAAAAGGATTCTGCAGCAGAAGGTTCCTCTGCAAAAAGGCTGTATTGACCAACTGTTCCATTTTTAAAAGCTTGACCCATTTTTCAACATTCCCCTAGAATCTGAACCACTCTTCAGTCTCCAGGAGTTCAGAGGCTGATGGCTACTCCTGTTCAAGTTATAAAGGCTTAGGTCAACTAAAATTAGCTCTATCATTATGGTACATACCATGGGTTCTGTTTCCTCGGGCGGGCGGTCCAGGGGGGGCATGTACCACTGAAAACAGAGTTCTTTGTCTAAAACTTGCATTGTCATTTCTGTTGACATCCTGTCCGCGACAGATAAGTAAGCAAAGGTCCTCAAAGATGAAACAGACTGTAGGGAACTGTCACGGTTTAACTGAGGAAGAACAACCAAAAAATTACGTCAGTTAAATTACTGAGAACAAACTCACTCCTTTAATATTTCAAGCAATTTAATTTGCTACACTGGAAAATTCTAGGAATTGTCTCAGTTTATGGCATACGAAGGTAGAATTTAAGATTGTCCCCAGAGAGTCCCCAGATTCTCCTAAATAAAAATGGTTTTAGAACCTAGTGAACTCAACAAATGTCTTCCACTTCAGTGAGTCCTCTGGAGTGAAAATGTGCAGAAGGCAAATGCTCCACACAACCGTTCAGTCTCAAAGTCACCGCTGTTTCAAGAAATATCTTCTACTTTATTTCTGATTTATTCATGGGTGCAAATACACCGAGGGTGTGGTTATAAATTCTACTGATTTTCCAAAAGCAGTGCTGTATTCAAAGTAAGCACGGTGTTGGTCCTGGTGAAAAGGTTAAACCCTTTCCTGCCTTCCCTGTTCACATGAATGTGACGGGCTGATAAGCTCAAGACTTTGATAAGTCACTGACTAAGGAGTCGTCAAGAAACATCAATGCGTGGAACACAGTCACCAGCTTTATTAATTGTTTGTTACGTGAGGCAGGGAAGGAAGCAAGCACGGTGGCAGCTTATCAACAATAGGCTGGCCAGAGAGCTAGCGACAGCGATAATAATATCTCAAGCCTGAACACAATGGAGCTCAAGCTATTTTAGAAATCAACTTCTTGTTATTCTTAAGACCATGGCATAGTAGCTGGGGAGCAGCTCCTGTTACCCTCTTTCTGACACCTAAGGCATTTCAAGGTCTGGTGACCAAGGGGAACATGTCAGTGCCAGAGAGAAATGTTTGGTGTTTTATAAGCCTTTGTCCCTTCTGTTATTTCTGAATCTATTCAAGATATACCTTGGCGACTGCAAGTCTTCAAAATAAAAAGGGAAAGGCACTGACCTTCAGGTTGTCTACTGATAAAAGAAAAGAAAAAAAGATGTTCTGACTGCAGGTAATATTAAACATGAGACCATGCCCAGAGACTATCATAAAAGTATATGATAAGCCAGAATCTTCATTTATAAGAAAAAATTTTTATGGTTAAGTGGCCATTTAAAGGTGCTGAATGAAGACTTAAAAGTCAATCCACAAAAATGATCGGATAGTTGCTTTAAAAAATAATTTCTCACTTTTTCATGTCCAAGTAACTTTCAAAGACTCTAGAAACTTTGGCAAAGGGTTCATATTTATTACTAGCCAAGTGTAAAAAAAATAAAAAGCAAGTAGCTTTTATTTCAATAAACGTGGTGCCTAATAACAAGATGGTCTGATGATGGCTTATGGACACAGAAGTCAATAGGAAAATAGCCATTTAACTCTATCTTTAAAACAGGACCGTATCCAGTTGCTAAAGGGATTGGTTACATATCTAATTTGCCAGTTACACACTGAGGTTTTTTTTTTTGTTTGTTTTTTTGTTTTGGCTGTCTCTGTACTTTGAAAAATAATAAAGGATAACAGACCTACTCTGTGAATCTTAGGTTGTCACAGTCCTATGAACTACAAACTATTTTGTGCTACTCAAATATTTGACCTTACACAGGCGATCGCAGGCAGCCATATAGTTTGGAAGCGGTGTGTTCAGCCCTAATCATCTTCCTTTTTCAGAATTTCTAATGTAATTTGTTTGGCACCTTTGTTTTCCCATCACAAAGCTCCAACACTCTTGATGATACCCAGATTCGTACAACTGATGAGCATAACACACAAGCAGTGATCACTCTGGAAAAGCATCTACCTCTTTCTGGGGGAAAAGCAAGGTTGAGTATCAAATTATGGGAAGGGTTTGATTGAAATAGCCTCCTGAGTGATTAAAGGCTCAACAATGTTATTATAAAAATCAGCCAAGCTTGGCGTTTATATAAAAAAATCCAAAAGGCTTTATGCTCGTTAGCTGTCTACCCCAGTGAAACACACACATGATTAGGTAGCTTGCACCTGTCAGGAAGGCAACAGTGATCTCTAGAGCTGATTATCCTGGGAGAGTGTTACACTAATTACATCAAAAAAGAGCAAACAGGGTGAGACAACTCTTTGATAACCCTGCTGCTGTTAGGAATGTCGCTTGTATTTACAACGTATTCAAAGTTGTACCTCTGGATCACCATCCTTAGGCACTGGGTAATGGCGGGCTGCCCTTACTGCAGACCACTCTAGCAGAGATCCTTCCAGAAGTGTACTTAAGAAGTCGCACGTTAGTTTTACAAAGTCTTCTTCAATATGTGCAAGAACGCATCCAGCAAAACTCTTTTTCTCTGCCTTCTCCTTGTCTGCCTACTCCTTCAAAACTGGGGTCGGGGACAGTAATCCTCCAAGGGAGTCTCTGTTCCCAGGAGGTGACACAGAATCTGGAGTTACTGGGAACAATTTCACCACATCTATGCTTTCTCTCCATACAGTCCCGGAAATCCCACCTGCTTACTCACTCACGCCTCTCTTTGCAGAAGACTCACTTGATTGGTGAATTTGACGGAAGTGAACCTTAGCAGAGAGTGAACATTCTCTGCCCCTTCATGCAACAGTTTACGGGGCTTGTAAAGACCCAGGAATACATGGCAGGAGCACATCTGTCTAGTTAGGCATTCATACAATGGTAGCCGTACATAGAAAGTAAGTTTTTATTGCACATTTATAGCAAAAGTATAGCAATTGAGGAGAGATTTATAAACTTTCAGAATTGTTTTACTGTTGGGTGGCGACATTGAAATTTGTATAACTTCTTGGCAAAGCAGCTGTCTGAAAGATGTTGCCTTGTGGGAATCTAGAAAAATCCTGAGAAATTTTGAAGATTATTAACAAGAAGAAAGAATATTTAAAATGTGAACTGTCCTGAAAATAATCTAGCCTTTGCTGTTGGCCTATCTACATGGTAAAACAGAAATAAGCTTTCCTAAGAACGCTGAGGAAACTCAGAATTTTTGTGGTAACGTAAAGGTTAATATGCTTCTTTGGAACTATATGGATTAGCATAACAAGTTTTAAGTTGATATTAAATGTGCTAAAACCTTACCTTGGGTGATAACTCATTTAAGACTTTTTCTGAATCAGCCATAGTTTCCAATCCTTGAAGAAGTTCTCTCGGGAATTCACCAATACAAGAAGAAGAATATAAAAGTAAGAATTTTTTAAGAAAAACATGCATTTCTTTTTGGCGTACAATCAGTTCAGTGTTGTAAAGCGATGTGAAAAGGGAATCATCTGGCAGAGAGATTCCGGATCCTGGTGTTGCAGATGCTAAGGAAGAGAAATACTTTTTTTAGGCTCATGTTAAGAACAAGAATGATGTCAATGTTGTTGATATTTGCTCACCAATCACCATCCTGTACACTCACACGAGGTAGAGGCTGCCAATAACCTTCTATCTGTAGACATCACACACTAATGGACTCGCTTCTTACCTCAAAAAAGGAGGAAAATTATGGAAGCACCTGCAGATACTGCTTTCAGGTATTCTGATTACCCATCTCTTTGGAAGTCTCCCCAAAACGGACCCTTTTGTGTACAAGTGGTTTATCTGAAAAGTGATCTCAAGGATCGCAAGTGAAGGGAGGGGTTAAGAACGACTGGGGAAACAAGAAGGAGCCCAGAAGGATGCGTAAATGCAAGATGGGCTACAGCAATGGGCACTGAGGGCTCAGGCTTGCTGGAGACCTCCCTAGTTAAAGGTCAGTCCTGGATATGGGGAGTCCCTGATGCCTCCAGGCTGTCCTGGAACTTCTGAGAAAGCCAGATCAGCTCTGGGATCTGCTGGGAGGAGCACTGAGAGGTGGGCTCAGGTGCTATGGGGCAGTGCAAGCTTGGAGTGAGCTACCTTGGCCAGTGTCCACATCCCTCCCTGCAGCACTTCCCTTGCGCTCTCGCTCTCTCTCTCTCTCTCTCTCTCTCTCTCTCTCTCTCTCTCCATCATGGTGAAACTTCAGCCCTTACGCCTTTCTGAGTGCCTGCCTGAGCCACTTGAGGACCCTGCTCAGCTACTCTATGACTCAGTCTCTTTGCCCTGCTGGCGTCCGTCTTTTCTGTTTGCACTGACCACCAACTCAGGGGAAAGAGATCAGGTACAATATATGTTTCCAAAAATGACAGAAAGGATTGATGTGAAGTGGATTTTATCAGTTTTTCTTGATGGTTTAGTGACTAAACAATGACATCAACATTTCTTCTTCTTCACATACTTGATCCTAGAAAACTCCCTAACGCCAAAACTTCAACCCAGGCAGATTGTGACCAATGGCTCTTGACCATTTTGGGCCTAGAGTCACTTCAGGATCTTCAGAAGCCTCCGATGCCTCTATATCATAAAGTTTTCAAATATATGAAATCAGTGTAAGAGAATCAATTACAGTCAACAAGTATCTGTCCAAAGGTTTGTGTGTCTCAGGTGAAGAACCTTTGGAATTTTCACCTTCTGATGAGTTTGCTCCAAAGGATGTCCAAAGTATTTTGTGATTTTAAATAAGAAACATGACCTAAACAAGAGTTAGAAAGGAACATGTGCTTTCTTAACACATCAACACGCACCTAGAAGCTTGCTGAAGTTATTGATTCTTTGCAGGTGGATGTAGTAACGTAGCAGGAGAACCCAGGTGATGTCCACGGTGGGTGGAGGGTTCTGTGTGGCGTCCGCGCCGTCAGGTGTGTCATCATTTTGGCACAAAAATGTGTAGCAAGTCTGGAAGCTGACTTGGTAGTTGTCTGAAAGTTTTAAAAATAAAGACCATAATACAATGTTCTGATTTCCTTGAAAACCAATCACAGAAAAAAGTACAACTCAGGAAGACTGACACAGCATATGTTCAATTAAATATTTTTGTTCCACAAAGATTCTAAACATAATGTTAAAAGACGAACAGTCAGCTGTGAAAGTGCGTATGAATTCTTTTTCTCTAATAGGTCCAAATAGCCTCGACCCAATCAATAAGAAACTTTCAAGCAACCCAACTTCAATGAGAAATCCATATAAAAAGTGGGTAAAGAGTCTGACAGGCAGTTCACAAAACCAAATGACAAAGTGAAACCAAATGACAAAAAATTTAAGGCAAAATAAAATTCTGGGAAATTCAATTGAAATTCAGATGAAATACCATTTCACATTCCTCAGGAAGTGGCAGGCTAAAACCTCAAAAGAACAAATATTAGTAACAATCTGAAGACACTGAAAATATTCATAAGCTACTTGTTAAGTACAACGCCTTGAGAAAGCAATTTGGCAGCATCCAATAAAACAAAAAAGCACACAAAGTCATGTACAAAGAGGTTTGCTCAAAGGTGTTCAGGAGTTTTGTCAGACAGAATGAAGGGGACTTTGAAAAACACACTGAAGACTGTTCGTGTGTTGTCATTTGTAAAGAAGGAACTCCATCCCTAAGAAAGTGTAGGGCAGTCTCGTTTCCAACCCCTGCAGAACTGCGTCACTGAAGTGGGTGAACCTGCATCTCCCATGCCTCGCTCCTCTCTAAGTTTCTGATCTTCTGAGTCTTGATTTCCTCTTCTTTACAATGGGCACAATGAGGGTGGTCATAGAAAGATCTTGAGAACACACAATGAGTTAACAAGCAAGTTCCAGACGTTACGGAGAATGGTGGCCCTTGTATAACTTTGAAGGCATGCCCTCAATACAGCTCTTCATATCATTTATGCATGCATCATGGATATGTGTGTAACACTGGATTAGAACAGCAATTGTCTCTGGGTAGGAAAGAGATGGAGAAGTAAAGGTCTTCTGAGCAATGACCTATGCAGACTTTTTTAAATAATAACATGAATTTCTATGTGCAGAATATTCCCAGTGCTTTTGGCATTTATAAACTTCTCTTTAAATCCATTTGCCTCCCTTTAATTCTATCTCCCAGAAATAACCACTTTTTCCAATTTTGTGTTAATAATCTCATAGATGTCCTTTATTATTTAAATATGTATATTATATATAATAAAGAAGGTGTTGTTTTGTTTTTTGGGAATACTGTGAGAGAAATTCCAAGTATTTATCTGTCTTCAATAAATATTATGCTTCAAAAATGTATCCAGGTAAAGGCATGTAGCTATAGTTCATTGCTGTGTGTATCCCACAAAATATACTGAATCTATTCTACTGCTGAGGGCCCTGTGAGTTCCTTATATTTTTATTTTGGATTTTTGTCTTTGCTGTTTTGAAAAAGGCTTCTCTGAATATTTGAGTATGTATTTTTTTTTGGTGCATAAGTGCACAGAATATTTGGAAATAGGAACATTAGGTAGTTCTTCAAGGGCTTTTGACCATCTTGACTTTTGCTTTTCCACAGAAAGCTCAGTATTAGTTATCCAAATTCCATAAAATAAAACCTAATTGCTAAATCCTAAATTGCTAATGGAAATGCATTAAATTTATCCTTCATTTTAGGAAGAGTTCACATCTTACCAATACTGAGCCTTTTAGCTATAAACATAGAATGTTTTCTCATCTTTTTTCAAAAACACTTTGTAACCTTTTCTTTTATAATTCTTATTAGATTAATCCTTAGATGGTTTTATTTATTTTATAGCTACCATGGTCTTTTAAAAATGTATTATTTTTTAAAAGTAATAGACATAAAATCCACAGCCAGCAATCTTACAAAATGTTCTTCCTCTTACGATTCTGGAGAATTGTCTCCATGAATGAATCATGAGCAGCCGCAGCTTTCCGCTTATGTCTCATTCCTGGACCCCTTATTCTGCCCCCACTTCCTTTTGTTTTATTGACACGAGCTCTCACGATGCAGTTCAGTCTGGCCTTGAACTCTGGGCAATAATACTGGCTCAGCCTCCCAAGTGCTGGGATTACAGGAGTGCGCCAGCAAACAATTTATTTAATTCTTCTGCACTTCTTTGAGATGATGATTTTTCTCTTTTAATTGGTTAATGTAATGTGGTGAGTTGGTTCTGTACATTTTCTAATGTGGAATGGTATTTGTGTTTCTGGAAATAATCCAGTTTACCATCATGCTTCTTTATCATGATGCTATTTTCATCATTTATAACTTACATGATCAAATATAAAATTCTCTCCTTTTGAGGCAAGTGTTTTAATCATTTGTACTTTTGTGTTTCCATGGGTTAGTTCCAGTTCTTCAAATAATTTCCTTTCACTAATTTGTCATTTTTATAAAATGTTTACTGACTTTCTTCTATCATTCTAGCTGCCGTCTAGCGACAGATATTAGCACACACAGCCACTCCTCTGTGCTCCAAACCTCTTACAGTTATATCACCACATTTAGTTCCCATAATTTTACAGATCATCAATGTTCTAAAAACTTTTTTGAAGTTCCACCAAGGACAGACAATGTCTCTTGCTTCTTACTGTGTGCTCTAACAGTTTCTCCATCCTTCACACCCTTCTTGCTGCCTGTGTCAAGGTTGATAACATTTACATTCTGTTCTGTATTCACCGTAAACACTTATTTGTGTTGTCTCTAAGTTGAAAATCAATGCACAGCACTTCAGTATGACTGCATGAGGCTTGTTCACTTCAATATGCCCAACTTTCTTCACAAAGAGTAAATGTCACAACTTCATGACTCACAAATAATAAAGTTCTTAGCACAAAGACCAAGCGGATTGTTCAATCTCATGTTATATTCTAATTCTCTTTGTGTTGGGACTATCAATTTGGACTGTGAAAATATTTTCCACTAGGATTTCTGTGTGTCTTGGGGTGGAGGGTGCGAAGAAAAGCAATATTGCACCCTTTACTATATTCCTAATGTTACTTTTGACTTTTTGGTCATTTTATCTGCTTCTTGGACATATTTTTGAGGTTGCACACTTGCCATTCTGCTTGGTACTGGTGAATTTCTAGCCGCTGCACAGCTGGCAGTCCCGAAGCCCTCCGTTCCCTCCCTCCTGTCTTCTCTCCTGCCCTTCCTTCCTCCCTGCATCTTACATCCACTTCTTTCTTCACTTGCAAACTTGTACGCTAAAGTACGTTCTTAAGTAGCATCCTAAAAAGGGGGTGGGGGGGGGGGAGGACGAGAAAGCAGACAAGGAGAAGAAGGGGGAAGAGAAAAGGATCAAACCTCACCAAAAGTAAACTATTCGCACTGGACGTGAGGATGTACACTCAAGGCAGGAGGGTCACAAGCTCCAGTCTAACCTAGACACCTTAGTGAGATCCTGTCTCAAAATAAAAATCAAAAAGAACTGGAGATGTAGCTCAGAGCAAAGACCCTGGGTTTAAACCCCCAGTACCACAAAAGAAAATGTAAATCATGCACATACTTACAAGGCTTGTACGCTTAACTTGTCATTTAGCAGATACATAATCCTAGCAGAACTCAGTTTCCCTGACAGTCCCAAAGGCCGTGCTCTACTGCTTTCTAGCGTCGGTTATTGTTGATGAGAAGCCTGGTGCTAGCCAACTTCTCACTCTTTCCCAGGTGACCTGCCTTTTCCTACTCTGAAATACTTTTAATCAACTCATTAACCATGGTGATTTAAACTTCATTTGGGTTCCATGTCTAGATGTTCTGTTTGGGTTCTGTTGTTTGTTTTTTCATTAATGATGTTTAGAAAATGGTAGAACTTTTCAACTTGAAGACTCATCTCTCCCTTCAGCCCTGAAAAAATACTTTTGTATTTATTTCTGTGATGACTGCTTCCTGTTCAGTTTCTCCCTTGTCTACATCTTGAATGTCTTTTAATTCTTACAAAATTTTGAAACGTCTTTAATGACTCTCTCTCTCTCTCTCTCTCTCTCTCTCTCTCTCTCTGTCTCTCTCTCTCTCTCTCTCTCTGACAGATATGACCCAGGAGCGTTGTGAACAAAGGCAGTCATTTTTACACATGATTCTAGGTTATTATATTTATGCACAAAAAGAAAATCTTGACTTCAGACTCATACAATTTACAAGAATGGACGCGAGATGGATTGTGGTCCTAAATGGAAAAGGTAAAACAAAAATAAGAACATGTGTAGAAAAATATTTATAAAACTGAAGACCCAAAGCACAATTCATAAAAGATTTATAAATCAGGCAGCATTAGGACTACAAACTTCGATGACTTTATAATACCCTTAACAAAATGAAAACGCAAAAACACAGTGGGAAAAATATTTGCATATTTTTTGCATATAATCTACAAAGAGACTGTATTAGAATATATAAAGAACCCCTCCATATGTTTGAGGCAAAAACAGAAAACTCCCAAGAAAAATGTGCATTGTTCTTGAATAAGGAGCCTCCTCCAAAACCATCTATGCAACAGCCAACACTTGCATCTAATGGTGTCCTATTTCTTTAGGCATCAAGACAAAATTTAAATTGAAACCACCTGGAGAACATCTGGCAGTATCCACTAAACCTGAAAGCACGTATGCCCTGTGATCCAGAATTCCACTCTTCTGCATACACACCCAAATGCACACATCTGCGCACAAAAACATCATATGCAAGTGTATTCAGGGCAGCATTATCCACAGCGCTGCAAAGGTTTAGCAAAGTGGTGTGGATTCTGAATTGTGCTACAGTGTTACATCCACCAAAGAGATGAGACTTACAAACACGAGGCTTAACAAAAGAAGCCAGACAAAAGGTCCAGACTGTATTATTTCATTTATACAAAATGAAGGAGCTGGCCAAACTAATTTATCTGCTAGAAATGAGAAGGGAAGAGGTTAGTAGAGGCAACAGAAGGGGCATGATGTAGATTTCCAGGACCGGAGTTTTATTCTGTTT